ATACTTGGAAGAGCTGTGTGCTCATCAGGATCTCCAGGAACTTTCAAATAGCTGACAACTCCTTTCTATAAATGTTATTTTTACCTTCTATGTTCTTTAGAGATAAGATAAAATATCGCTGCGACACATGCATTAAAATCAAGAGACATTACGTGCAATGTTAGGGATACTTTGCTTTTAGGATAATATGTATCTTTTTATGAATAAACAGGAATACGTTTAATTTTTATCATGGACGATACCACTCAGACGACATGGAACGATTACGATGTTTCTTATTGGCACTTGGAATGTGGTACACTCTGTAAAGGTGGAGCATTTAAAAATCTGGTTGATATGTTTGAGATGGATAGACTTTGTAGAGACAGAGCTCAAAACTTTAAAAAATAAATCGTTGCCGGACCGTAGCGACTAATCGGATCCCTTGGAGGAAGCTTATTGAGATGTCCTTGGCCTGTGATAGTCTGTAGCGCAGTTGAAGAGCAAGAAGGTGTGTAACTTTTGGAAGAGATCATATGATGCATTTAACGCCAACAGAAAACAGAGATAAATAAAGAAAAGTACTTTTTTCTTACAATAAGCTAGAAATACACTGATATTTAAAAAATATAATGATTTTAAAAACTATTGACATGATTATCATAAAGTAAAACATAAATTCCTCCTCGAGAAAATTAAGGACAGACAGCAAAACTGAATGCTCCGGAAACACGAAAACTAACAATTAGTAAATTATTTAATATATGATTAAACAATTAAATTTCTAATTTAATTAGGTGTACAAGCAGTCATTCAAGTATAACTGAGGCTGATTTTATTATTCTAAACTTCTCTGTCAAATATATTTCAACTTTGGGGAATATGTAATAGGAATCTAGTTAAAATATATGTCATTTGTCTTTGAAGAATTCAAAAGTAGAAGAAAATGTTCAAAATATAAAATATATGTATCGAACTATTAAGATGAGGAAAAAATTTATTAATGGTTAAAAATACGACCTATCAAAAAATATAAACATTGTTTGTTCTTTTCATGACAGTGCCAACAATACTAGATTGGGTCGATAAGTAATTTTTAGTCCTTATTGTATTGGGAATAATATCAAAGAAGAAGGGATCAATTTAATATCATTAACAACATCAACAACAACGGAAAGAATTCGGATTGTAATTGCCTTCGCTGAAAGATAAATCAATTTTCCCAAAGTTGCATCACAGTTTACTGATAAAGCTCGCAGTACGATTGGAAAGGAAAATTGCTTTCTTAACTTACTTTCAGAGCATTCTTTTCTGGATTTTCATTGCATTCTAAATCATCAAGATGCGCAAAGACCTATTGTTAAGTCACTCAAAGGTATGAGACTTCTAATAAAAATAATTAATTTTGCAACAAATAGTTCATGAATTAAAATCAGAGTACAATGACCAATTTATATATAATAACATTCGACAGTCAAGTCTTAGTAAAGTTCTTCAACTATTCATTAAGTCTTGACTTTAAGTTTGAAAAAATTATACATTTTACATAATGAGAAAAGCTAACATAACTTTCGTGAGCTGAAATACCGGCATTACAGGAAAAATGCAAATTTGTATTTATGTCTGTTCCCAATATTGTAAAATTGTCTTCTTCGAGCCAGCAGCACTGGCACATAATTTAGATCAGTATCGTAGTAAAAGAGGACTGTAATGTCCCTGCAGCATTCTTTGGTTTCTCGCGTACATTGGCTACAATACTGAAACTCTCCAGACGACTTTACTCATATAAGAATCTCACAAATCAGATATGTTAAAAATTTATTGCAAATACTAACAATAACAATGTTTATTTCAACGATATTTCTGTAAAGAAACCAAAATACATTCTGTTTTGAAACTTACGTAAATATAGGCTGTTCGTGGGAAACCTTTCACTTTCGTTTGCATTTTAATTAATGATGTAGCATGGAAATATTAAAAACGCCATTGTATAATTTTGTTGTACTTGTCATGACGTGGTAACACTATTAATAAAAACTAATTTCGTGATTCTAAATTTTGTTTCATTATTATGAGGCATAAACTTACAGTAAAATTTAACATAATAAGGAGAAAAGGCAAAATGAACACAATTTGGTAAAATTTAATATTAAATAATGCAATTTTACAACATTTTATAATTATCATTATTGGCAGAACTCCTATGAAGCCATTTAGAAATGCTTACTCTTCAATCCATCAATTAAACGTGTGATTTTTGCATTTCGAAAACAAAGGAAACTTTAAACATATTTATCTGAAAACTTCATTTTTCGAGCTGTACCAGCATTGCAGCCCATGAACAATATACATATATATGCACACACATATATTGTCCGTTTTAAATACTATATACTGTTCATTTAGATTTAAAAGTCATATATAAAATGAGCAATATATATATATTGTTCATTATTTAGGTTTAAATACTTTTTTCTTATACATACATCTATATATCTATATCTATCTATATATATATATATCGGCAACGACTTCTAACACACTCACATATACTGTTGCATTCGTACGGGTTTGTAATAGACTTAACGATCACAGAAGTGATGATAGCTTGATAAAAATATATTTTGCCAAATATATTTTTACCAAAACAAAGACTTTATAGCTCTGGAACTTTCAGGAAAAATATTCGTACAGCTCACTCACAATATCACAGAATACAGTCAGTTGTCACACTTTAGATTACCAAGAAAGTTAAACACAATGCAATGCAAAGCGCATCTAAAAAGCAAATCTAACACGGTGTTATCTCAATATTCGGAACTAAACAACTACTGAGAGCAGTTGCTTTCTATATAGTTTATATAGTCTTTTGTATATATACACTCACGTTTGTGAAAATTGCAACACCAAGAAGGAATCGTCATAATTGAATGCAATTTAATACACAGTTGAGTGGTAGTGGTACAAATAAATGATTAAATGTTCAAAGCAAACAAACAAGAACAAGAGATCAGAATCAGTATTTTGTGTGGCCACCACGCGCCGCAATAAGTGCTGCTACACGACGTGGCATGGAGTCAAACAAAGTTTGAATGTCTGACTGAGGAAGAGCATTCCATATCGTTTGTACGCGTACCCAAAGTTCGTCTGCAGACGCAACAGGACGAGGATCACGAGCAAGACGCCGACCAATGACATCCCACACATGTTCAATGGCGACATATCCGGGGAACACGCAGGCCAAGAAGAAGAAGCTGTACCTGCTGCGCTGCAAGAAGGATTTAACAATCCGAGCAGTATGAGGGCGGGCATTGTCCTGTTGAAATACAGCGCCTGGCAAGCTTTGAAGGAAGGGAACAGCTTCGGGCTGTAGAACTTCACGGATATACCGGTTGCTGTTCAGATTGCCCACAATTCGTAGCAATTGAGATCGTCTATGATATGCTATGGCGCCCCAGACCATAACTCCGGGTGTTCGTCCACTGTGGCGTTCGATAACGCACTCCGGAAGGTGGCGTTCACCGGCATAGCGTTTGACACGAATGCGGCCATCATGGTACCACAAATTAAAGCGGGATTCGTCAGAAAACACGACATGCTGCCAATCAGCACGCCAGTCTCTATGCTGATTGGCCCATTGTAGCCGCAGGCGGCGATGGTCGTGCGTTAGGGGGATCCTGTATAAAGGAGTCCGTGCGCGCAGTCCACACTGCAGCAGACGTCTACGAATTGATGAAGCACACAATGAAACACCTGTAGCTATTGACCACAGTGCTGCCAATTGTCTAGAGGAAGCTGTACGGTCCGTCCGCGCCATGCGGACCAGGTGTCTATCATCGCGAGCTGACGTCACATTTCGGGGTCCACTCCCGGATTTCCGAGTTGTCCGACACTCGTCCGTCCACTGCTTCCAAACGCGCATCACTGTGCTGCTGTTACGCTGCACACGAGAGGCTAACTGCACGATACGACAATCCAGCTTCACGAAGGCCGATGATTCTCCCTCGTTCAAACTCTGTAAGTTGTTCAAATCTCGCTCTCTTTCGTCGACGAGGCATAAGTACAGATTGAGTTAACGTTTACCACTAGCAGATAACCACCGATAACCATACACGCCTCGCTACAGCCGTCTATTTATTCGGATCCATCAGCCGTTCAGAGGGCGCTGCTCAGCATACGCATGCGCTACGGATTTGCAATTCTAATCATTTGCATATCATGCGCTACTTTGTTTTCCTGAAAATTTCAGCTCACTCGCGTAAGTCCTTCATGGTGTTGCAATTTTCACAAACGTGAGTTTATATATAGTCCATATGGCCTCTCTTACATTATACATGCTGTCTTAATATTATAGTTTATATAGTCTCTATATATAGTTTATATTGTCATTCATATAGTGTTCACCCTGCCGCCGAGAAATCTCCAGTAAATTCTGTTTCTCCAAATTACTCCAGATTATCGTGTAGTAATTATGTTATTTGAAGCAAGAGATATGAAAAACGAGAAATGCCCTCGCCGGGACTCGAAACTGGACCTCTGGAATACGCCCCGAGTGTGCTACTGTTACATCATCAAGACAGGCAGAAAGGAGGGAGGAAATACCTTATATCCTCCCCCTTTTAAAAGGCGACTGGGGATTAGGGCAAAGAACCTTTAAGAATTAGATTGATCTCCTTTGATTGGCTCAATTAATCAAAGAACCTCTAAGGTTTTTGATTAGGGGACACAGTCACTAAATCCTGGTAGTGAAGAATCCTAATCCATCACCTTTTGGGAGGTAGGCATAAGTATTTAAATTATGACTCAATAAGTATTTAAATATTTATTTATTTACTAGTTAAATATATCTAAGTACAGGAAAGAAACTTATCATGATGATACAAACTCGAAAGTCAAACGTATAATAATTGTTGTTCCGAGCTTATAAGCTTATTATCACTATGGCAACTCTAACTATGCAATGAATCCAATTGTTTCCACAATGGTGTCCTTCCAGTCCAGAGGACGATCTAAGAAGCTTGTTATAGATGACTAATTTTTACGCGTCTGCCAGAATTAGTAAAAGTTGGGAACGCTTGGTGTACCCTAGAATCAGGTTCAGACTCTTTGTTGTTACTTACATGACTTTCTTCTCGAGAGTAGACTAGTATGAATGCAGGTTTTAAGCGATTTACGGATACTGTTGATTTATTGCCATTTATATCGATTGTAAAACATTTTTCAGTACTAGATAATACTTTGAATGGTCCCTGGTATGGTTGCTCTAAAGATTTTCGCACAGAGTGTCGTCTAAGGAAGACACGCGAGCTTGTGAGGAAATCATCAGGAATGAACATGTTGCTCGAAGAGTGCCGCGAAGCAGGTTGAATAAGTGGCATCTGTTGACGAAGATTGTCACGAAAGTCGTTTGCAGGAACCACAATTGAAAAGGAATTACAAAAAAATTTTCCTGAAAGTGTCAAGCAAGTTCCATAGACCATTTCAGCTGGTGAAGATTCAATATCTTCTTTAATGCATGATTTCATTCCAAGCAAAACTGATGGCAACACTTCATTTAACTGTTACATGGCATTTAATGGATGCGTTTGGTTGTCGATGCATGCGTTCTAAAATACCGTTACAAACTGGATGAAAGGCAGTAGCTCTTCTTTTGTAAATTCCTAGGAATTTTGTGAATGATCTAAAAAATTCAGTCTCGAAGTTTGTACCACGATCACTAGTTACAGTATCAGGTACTCTAAATCTGGCAATCCATCCAAAGTAAAAAATCTCAGCTATAGTTTCAGCAGTTTGGTTAGGCACTGGAAAAGCTTCCGGTCACCTAGTGAATCTGTCTCTACAAGTTAAAATATATCTGTAGTCTTTTTTATGGCGGAAGTGTGCCGATTATATCTATATGTATATGGCTGAACCTAACATCAGGTAACGAAAATGTACCAAGAGGACTTTTAGTGTGCTGATGAATTTCAGATTTTTGACACATTAAACAATTTTCGCACCATTTCTTTATATCACTGTGACGTTCACATAAGTCGAGTTTTTGTTTGTAGTTGCTTTTAGTCCTGGATGAGGTAAGTTGTGTAACGTTTCAAAAACTTGAAATCTGAACTTTTACATATAGTCGAACGTTTTTTGAAGATATATCACAATAAATTGAGAGATTTATTAAAGGGAAGTTTAATTTCTTAAAAACAAGACCAGTATCAGATTTGAGAAGGGTTTGAAACTCGCCATCATATTCCTGAGCACAAGCTAATTCATCATAATCAATAACTTGAGGCAATTGAATTTCTGAAATTCTCGAAAGAGCATCTGCTACTGCATTATTACTTTCAGAAATGTATCTCAAGTTGGTAGTGAACTGTGATATAAATTCTAAATGACGAATCTGATGAGGTGTTGCATTATCATGTTTTTGTTGTAGAGCATAAATCAAAGGTTTGTAATCAGTGAATACCACAAAATTTTGACCTTCGACCATGTGCCGAAAAAATTAACTGCTGAATATATTGTCAAAAGCTGTATCGTAAGTGCTGTACTTAGGTTCGTTCAGAAGGTGTTAATTTTCTGGAATAAAATCCTAAAGGTTCAACATTATCACAAAGATATTGCTGTAATACGGCTCCAATAGCTATTTCTAAAGCATCGGTAACTAACGAAAGTTTCGTATTTTGAACAGGATACGGCAACATAATAGCATTGGATAATAATTGCTTGCATAAGTTGAATGCATCTTTTGTTTTATCATCCCATGTGAGTTCTGACGGGTCCTTCTTAATTTTTCCTTTAACCAATTTATCAATTAATTATTATTTTAACCAAATCATAAAGACAAGCTTGCGTTTCAGCTGCATTTTCTTATAAAATGATGGTAGAAGTTAAGCATTGTAAGAAATCACCTTAGATTCTTTACAGTCTTAGGTAGAGGGTATTCGGATAGAGCTTTTATCTTTTCTGGTAATGGGAATATACCATACGAAGAAACTAGAAAACCTAGGAATGGGATTTCGTGTTGACCCAAAACGAATTTAGATAAATTAACTTTAAGTCCGTAATTATTCAATCGTTCAAACACTTTTTCTAAATTGGCTTTTGAGTGTTTTCATTTTCTGATGCTATGAGTACATCATAGAGGTAAGCATAACAGCAATATAAACCTCGTAAAACTTGATCAATAAATCTGAAATGTTTTAGCTGCATTTTTTACCCAAATGTCAATGGGATAAATAATAAAACTCGCAATAAAGCTGGAAACGTTTATTATTCAGTTAAGTATCCCAACAGATTAGACCACTGAAATAGAAACTTAAGGAACTCGAGCCGTGCTTAGTATGAGAGGTATATGTAGATCGAGATTATATAAGCCGGAAGAATTTTTGTTTAAATCTCTGGACAATAATCTGGTAGATAAGTGATTAAAACAAGGCTACAAAATTATTTCTCGCTTTACTTTGCACTGAGAAAATAACCAGTGTCGTTATATCGGTTATTAAAATTACAAATTTGATTAAATCTCCAGAAATTAAACACCTCAATTTAAGGAATGTTTTAAGGCTATAGAAAGCGAATATGGAGATAATGTTTTGAACTCGAGTTTCAGTGGTTAAGCCGCTTAGTTATGCGTTCTATTTCCAAAGCGAATTTCGTTTATTTTTGGGGGCGGAGTACTACCTATTTCCAAAATTCGATGGTAAGGACTAATTATGAAACCGTGAATTTTGCGTTCACGCATGAACAAAATAAATATAAATCTTCACGGGTAGAACAATCTTATTAATAATTTGTTCAACTCATGCTAATCTGATTATTTTTTGAAAATGAAAATCTTGGAAAGTAAATTAGAAATCTAAACCAAAATTAGAACAAAATAAAAATTCGAAAGTCTGAAAAAAAGAAAAGTCTACCTGAAATAAAAAGTACATAGAAGATATAAGTAGACTGCAAGAATTTATTTTGAATTTCAAAACTTTTCTCGAAAATGATAATAATTTTGAAATTTTTCGTCACCCTTTAATACTGGCTTTCAAAGTATTTCTGAAACAAAATTCTGAAATTACTGATTTAAAGAGCAACACTGAAAATTTACGAAATGAAATTAGCTTTAAAATATTAGGCTTGTTGACTTTACAAAAAGTACCTTACACTTCAGGCAAATAATGATTTTATCTGCTAGCATTTGTCTGTATGAATAACCATTTTCTTTATCTGTATGAATAACGAAAATTTTAAAAAGCGATCTTTGAAACAACTTTGATGAGGCACAGCTAAAATATTTTATTAAAACGTTTGAGTTTTAGGCTTACTAGTTGATACTGATAAGATTGTTGAAGGTAAACAAAGTCAGTTTCTGATTAATTAAATTTTATAAGCTTATTATTTTTTGATTAACGATACATTATATAAAACGTATTACTTGTAATTACGGATTAAAAAAAATTAGAACAAAGCTATTTAAATAGAGTCAGTTATTTGAATTAATCTAAGAATTTCGAATTCAGCAAATTATTGAATTTCTGCAATTTACTCCTCAGAATAATATTCGATTTATCAAACAGGTTTTATTTTCTTACGTCCGTATTATCCAGTGCTGTACTTAATACCTGTTATCAACTGTTAAGTTGTTTCTGACTCTTAAGCTTTCAACTTACACGCAGTTTTTAAATTCATTTGATATTTTATTCCGTGAATAAAAAATTGAAGATCTATATAATATTTTTTTTAAATGATTTTCATATGCACCAGACATAACATTCCATAGATGTTAAACAAATTTTTGATGTTGTATCTGGAAGAATTAATTATTGAACAGTTTTAATGTAGTGTTAAATGATAGTTAACGAATTTAATGGCAGAAGTTTTGTTTGAAACAATGCTGATACATGTTTGAAAAAATATTTCATGGGTTTACAATTCTGTATAAAAATTTTATTAAGATAAATATTTTCAATTAGATTTCAAACTAGAAATATGAAAATGTGCAGTACTTGAGCCTTTGTAAATTCAAGTCAAGAATATTAAAGAACTCACAGCTTATAGTGACACTTTTCTTCAAACTTAGTTGAGAGAAAGTATTGCAAAGTAATGCTGCTATTTATGATAATTTTTGTATGTGCCTTTTACAGATAACTTCAGAGCTTATCAAAAATAGAAATTTATTTAAGATGTGTACTGAAACATAAAGATGGGTAGTATATGTCCAGAAAGGGCATCACATATAATCGACACTCGTTGTAAGAACTGCTACTGCAGAGATCATTCCATTCGAACGTCTTATGCAAAATATCCCTATTTCGGTTTCCCTATAATAAACTCATTTTTGTTACAGCAACTACCTGCTAAAACACCATTTTACTTTAGGACATAAGAGGTCGTTAGGATCAACCATATTCCTTCTATATGCTTCTTTATTTTAGTAGTCAGGATATTAGTATGATAGGCTATATCTTAAGTTGAAGATCCGGGTTCTATGTTCAGTAAGACAAAGAATTTCCCATACGTATGCCTACGAAGCTTTTAATACCTCTACAGTATACAGTATTTTAAATAAAAGAGTAAAAAACATCTTAAAAACTGTACAGCATTGTGATTTTAGGAGAAGTTTCATTAATAAATTTCTTTCAGAATTAAGAAGTGATGCCCTGATTAATAACAATAGCATTCATCTAATAATATTTTTAACATACAAAAACCATGAAAAATATAGCGGTTAGGGATAGCTGATTGATGCTTCGTGAGTGAGGGCTCCACTCCTGAGTAAGTCTTGGTTGTTTGTGCAGGGGACCGAAAACTATCCTCGTTCTTGTGCGTGAAATGATTCAATTCCCGAGGTGCACCTTTAGCAGCTCTTTGGGTGATGAGTTGGCTGCATCACTGATGGGCTCAGATTTACTCCAAAAATGCTTGAGAAGCAAGTATATTGCCATTTGTAGAAAAATACATACAGACAGAAACAATATTATCAACAATAAGTCTCTCATGAAATTGAGTAAATATCTTTCAGTTCCTTTGGTTATTTTGAATTGACAATCCACTGAGTGCAAATTACTGAGTCAAAAAGGAATGTTGTTTTACATTGGCGTTACATTACAGTCACAGCGATATTCCTGGCAATGAGTAGGCAGACGCGCTAGCTGAGAGGGGTTGTGGCTTTAACCAACCTGAATTATTCCTCTTAGAAACATCAAATGGACTATCAGACAGCGTGTAAGGATCTTAAGTTTGACTAACGTTTATTTTGTTTTAAAACTTCTTTCCTGTCTTATTTTCCACTTCCGGCCAGATAAACGCGTCATTCTGTTTATGCAAATCCTGCTTGTAACTCATAAGTATTTAAATTGTGGCTTTTCGCCAAGAGTTAGAGATAGAGAGAGTGTGAGCCTTCTTGCCACTTTGTTTTCACGCGCGTTTCAAGTCAGTTGCTGTCTACCTTTTTGGCCGGAGGTTTAGTCCTCTTGATATTGAAGATGTATCCTAGTTTTCTCGGAGTTTGCGTATAAGTCTAAAAGACCAGTCTTAGTGTTATAAG